CATGACCATCTTTAAGAAGGGTCGGAATATAGTGCAAGACCTCTTTCCGATCGCTGAATATCTGCCTGGTAATACTGGACAGTACGGAATGGGGTCCAACCTCTATAAAAAGCACGTGTTCCATCCCTGGTCTTTTAAGCAAAGCTTCCACGGCTCCCAGGTATCGGACCGGGGATTCGAGATTTCGCCGCCAATATGCTGCATCCAGGAAGGCTGGACTAGGGACTATGCCTTCAGTAACCGAAGAATACATGGGGGTCATCGATTGCTGGGATACTATGTAGGGCGAGATCATAGTTTCGTAGATTTCTCCCAGACAAAGCATATGGTCTGTGACGGGGTCAGAGTTGTCTGAGAAAAAGAGATACAGCTACACATACGAGAATGGTACGCCACGCTGACATTCACGATACTGTGATATGTCTCTGGCATTTCTCGCTGGATCTTCTCAAGCACGGCATTCAGGCGATCCTTGTCGCCGGACAGGTTGACACTTCGGGGACTATTCTCGCATGCCACCACCACACCGTCAACCAAGAACGGATATACCTCTTCCTTGCTCAGACCGACAACAGCCATACCACCTGCCTGTCTGCTTGACTTCACGACTTGCCCGCGGTAGTAACTAGCAATGATTGCTGTCTCAACAGAGATAGCCCCCGCTGCATATGCGGCAGCAATCTCGCCACTGGAATGCCCCACGACTGCAGTAGGACGAGTGCCCCAGCTAGCTAGCAAATTGACTATCGCTATTTGAACAGCTACCACAAGTGGCTGAGATAGTTCCGGTTCATTAACTCGACTTGTATGTTTAGGTCGCAAAAGCTCTTCTTCTATGCTCCAAGTTGGCGCATGTGGTAGCCGCTTTAATATACCGTCCATTTTCCGTATGTCGTCTCGGAAACAAGCAAATCTCTCCATCAAGCCCTTGCACATTTCTGGCCATTGTGTACCTTGGCCGGGAAATGTAAAAACTACTGGTGGCTGTGAGCAGCATGGTGATCGCAAGGTCTCAGCTTCAAGGCGGCCATCTTCGGTTGAGATCATGAAGGCTCGATATGGGAGATGTTCTCGCCTTATCCCGAGAGTGTATGCCACATCGTTGAGAGGTCCAGGGCAAGCTTTGACATAGTCTTGTATGTTACTTACCTGAATCTGGAGAGATTCCTCGCTCTGTGTCGATGCAACTAGGAGCCGTGGGCGCTGTTTCTCGATATTGACGGCCTGATTACCTGCCTTGAGACGAACAGAAGGCGGCAGCTCCAAGATAGCCTACGTTTTGTAAATTCCTCATGTTGCAATATTGGGTAGGAGTATCTCACATGTGCATTTGCGCCTCCGATACCAAAACAGTTGACGCTTACTCTGTCCGCACGGCCGGGAGGCCAAGGGATTGGTTCAGTCGGCACTCGTAGCCCACTTTCTTTGAACGGGACTATCCAAAGTCCAGTCAGCATCATGAATGGAAAACATACGGATGGTCCCAGTACTTTTGGGGTTAGGATTCGTGAAGTGGATATTGGGTGGAATGATTCGGTGCTCCAGAGCAAGCACTGCCTTGATGACACTGGTGAGGCCCGATGCTCCTTCGCTATGTCCCACGTTTGGTTTTACCTTGGCTTGTCAGCTAACAGTTACTCCTTTAAGGAAGACCATACCGCTCCGATGTGAATTCCTTCAGGCCCAAAAATCCTGCCCACCGCAATCGCTTCAGCCAGGTCACCAGCCCTCGTTCCCGTTCCATGGCATTCAAAGAAAGCTGTCTGGGAGAAGTCATCGATGCGAGCACGCTCATATGCTTGCCGAATGAGTCTTTCCTGGCTATCTGCATTGGGCGAGAAAATCTTCTCGGTTCTTCCATCGAAATTTGTCGATGTCGACCGAAGAACAGAACGAATTGGGTCTCCATCTCGAATGGCCTGGTCTAGCGGTTTGAGGTATACTGCATTCACGGCTTCTGCTCTCGCATATCCATCGGCATCGGCATCGAATGTTTTGCAGTGACCGCTAGGAGAAAGTACCATGTTATCGGACATATTGGCCGTCATTGTGGGGGACAATATCATGTTAGTCCCGGCGACAATAGCGGAAGAACATGTACCAGAATAGATCGCACAGCATGCTTCGTGTAAGGCTACCATCGAGGAAGAACAGGCGGTTTGTATAGTCACACTGACAGGCGTTAGCAAATGTTGGGTCACCTACATGGGATGAACGCACCTCGGGCCTTTCAAGTCGTACTCATACGAAACTCTGTTCGACAGGGCAAACGCTCCAGTCGCAAACGCATGAACTCGTGGAATATCCTGAGTCTCCTTTGCGCATAACTCATGCCAATCCTCACCGAAGGCGCCTACATAGCAGCCGATGTCTTGCCCACGCCAGCCTGTCTGGCCAGCGTTCTCCATACACTCCCAGACCACTTCCATCAGAAGCATTTGTTGGGGATCAAGTTTTCCCGCCTCGTACCCTGCCATCTGAAAGAACGAGGTATCAGCCGATCCCACGTAGTCATCTTGTAAAAAGTATCCGGATCGAGTCTTCGCAGACTGCGGCTTTGTAGGGTGGTAGAATGCATCAATGTTGTAGCGACTTTCGGGGACTCTCGACGAGACGTCCTCTCCTTTGATCAATAGTTCCCAAAACCCCTCGCTGGTTTGGATACCACCGGGGAGCCTCATAGCCATCCCAACGATTGCTATTAACGGAGGCCCTGATTCCTGATCCGCACAGTTTTCACGGCAATAGGTCCTATTTCCTTCCATTATGGGTAATACGCCGTTGCCAGGTTTCTATGTCTCTCGTTGTATGTTCGTGAACCAATGGCGTATCCTAACCACACAACACGACCAAGTTAAGATATTCGATGCAGATGTCTGTATAATTGGTAGGTAATTCATATACCGATATCATTGACTGACAAACCCTCCCCGTAATATTTCAGTGGAGGTAAACAGGGGCCAAGGAGAGATTGAACGAGGGCGAGAGAACTCCATTCTCAATTCTCAGGGACTGCAATGTGATTTAGAGCTCTCAGGTAAGAGATATGCACATCAATCCTTCAAGGTAAGGGGGGTGAGGTCGAACAATATGCCATAGTAAAATCTAATGTGGCGTTGCTGAGGCCTTGCTAGATTAAGCGAAGGAATGCCGACAAGCGACATAATAAAGCTTTCCAATACGCAAGGGGTCCAATAAAGCTCGTATTCGTGCACTAAGTCGAAAACCTTCTTTATTGCAAAGTCCCTGCAGAACATAAGGTCACCTGAATTGCTCCAGTAGCGACATGAAAAGCATTCCAATTGATCACAAATGGCGCCGCGGTGCCAACCAGACTGATCATGCCTCAGAATGCAGAGCATTGGCCCTGATCACCGGTCCAAGGTTAGCTACGAGAATTCTTCCGCATGCAGAGTTGACGATAGCACCAACAAAAGTTGTCGTCTGGTATCGTGAGAATTTTTCTTTGCAACAAAGAATGCTTGCTGCGAAGGTATTTAAACCCCAGGCATCCCAGGCATCCTCACATTAGGTACCCCACCGTATCATACTTTGTTCCGTTGCGTTATATGATCATTCAGGCTCACTCCTTCATTTAACAAGATGCTTCTCAAGTTCTCGTACATAGCCCTTTTGTTGGCGGGCATTTCTCAGCCGGCATTTGGTGCCCGCAACTTCGAGCAGACATTGGCAGACATGGACGCCATCGAAAAGGTCGCTCGAGAATTTGGTAGTTCGATCGACAACTATCATGGTGGCCTTGCGGGTGCTGTAGCCGTTGGGAACAATGCTCGCACGGCTCAGCAAACCGCAGACAGTGCGAGAAAAAACCTCGATACGGATAGCGATCGCTTCACCGATGCTGAAGCCAAGCAGGTGATGGATCACTACGATCAAACAGGCCCTATTGTTCTTGACAACCTCAAGAAGCTGACCGAAAAGGTGCGAAGATGAGCCTGCTCTCTCCTTTAATGCGCATTGTATGTGCTAATATGGCCACGATATCTAGGCCCCGGAGTTCCGCAAGGCAGGTGTTGGTAGCATCGCTCAAGGAATGGTCCGCCATATGCACGACACGAAGAACGCTCTCAGAGACTCTCTCCAGAAAAAGCTCCCTGACAGAGAGGATGGCCAACCAGCGCTGTCCGACGACCAGCTTGAGAGTGCGTTCCAGGAAGCCAGTGATGCGTTCTCACAGTAGACCAGTCAACACCTGCTAGATGCAGCTTCCCGTCTTGTTTATTCGGTATGTTGAAGCTCTCGGAATGGGAGGCATTCTATGATATTTTTATTAGGGCATACCGACTGGATTCATTGGGTCGATCACTGCCATTTAATGCCTCCACAAAGCTAGATATAAGTATACGGTATAATACAGCTATGCTCGCTTGATACTTTTGTAACGTTCATTGCCCTAGTTTGTTGTATTAAAAGTCTGACCAACTCTGTAAGAATGATGATTCTCCATGCCCTAGGTATGAAGACATTCATACCTAAATCTCCAAGCAATACAGGGTAATCACTTTTAGGGCAGGGGGGGTCGTTTATCCAGTAAAAAAACAGGGTGAATTTTCACTTTAGTACAACTAACCTAAAGTCAATGATTTCAAGGGAATTATCTGAAGGGGGTTACGATCTCCGAGAAAAAGCTACAACATCTCGGCCAATACTGGTGTCACTTTATAAAGGTTTGAAAGAATACTATCCATATTAAACCCCTTTATCAAGCAAGGGAGCAAACCTTAGCACCATTCCTGGACATTGCCCACAACTCTTTCTTCATACGACATTCTCGGACGGCGAATGAGGCTAGTTCCTATAAGATGGACAGAGTACCCGACTCTTACTAAGGGAGAACATCTCAATTGTCGCAGACATGAGCCAACCAGGGACGCATCATGATGAACATATGAAAGTGCTTGGCCTTGGCCTTTGCCGTACTGGGACTGACTGTAACAACCATGCCCCAAGCTGGTCAAAGAACAATAACTGATACGAAAATGCACCCAGCCTTAAGGGAAGCACTGAGAATTCTAGGATATGCCAACCCTTACCATGGGTTTTCGTGCCTGGAAAATCCTGCCGACTGTGGAATTTGGCATTTGGCTTTGTCTGCCAAATATAATGGCGTCGGGAAACCATTCGGCCGAAAGGAATTTGAGAAGGTCCTAGGTGACAGCCAGGTAACTTTAGGTGTCCGAGAAACTCAAACCAGTATGCCAGACATCAGTAACATGAGCTCAGGCTGTCTGTGGTGACTTTCCGGTAGCTTGTTTTGGTCCAGAGTTGATCGAAGCATATCCAGAAGCGAAGGTGATTCTTACATATAGAGATGTGGATGAGTGGCATCAGTGAGTACCGGTGAAACAGACCTTAATGACTGGTTGTAAAATACCCTGACACTGTGTCCTCAGGTCCGTGAGCAAGACGGTTGACTACGCGGTCCGTAGTCGACTCTGGGTGACAGGAACCATAGCCGCCAGAGCACTTGGGCTGCGGAGTTCGTGGATTCAGCCAACGTGGCTCAAGATATGGGAGGGTTTCTTTGGGGGCGACTTTCAGAACAACGGATGTAGCGCTTTCCATGAACATTATGAGTTGATCCAGCGGCTTGTGCCCTCGCGTCACCTACTCATTTTCCACGTCCCTCAGGGGTGGGACCCCCTTTGCGAATTTCTTGATGTACCTGTCCCATTGGTGCCATTTCCTCGAGGGAACGACCCTCAGAGTTATCATCGTCGCCTTGCCTACTTGGTTATCTTTAATAACCGCACACGAGTCCACATTATGGTATGCACGGCAGGATTTATTATTTTAATTTTGGTGATGCTTTTCACAAGGGCAGCATAGGGAGATGCTGCGAAGTTTCCGGATTAGGTACAAGCTAATATACGAGAATGAGATGGCAACTCTCGTGATGGCCACTAGGAGAGGGCTTATAACCCAGTGAAGTGTACTATTGTTGGAGATGACCCCGTATACCGGTGATGTAGTATGGAGGAAGTAGACGATATCTGGACTGAATCTGTGCCGACACTGATATCAAAAGAACGCCCTGCTCTACATTGATCTATGTATTCATGCATACCTCCATATTCGTTTAAATAATCGCTGAAAACATGACTTTCCACACAGAAAGAGCTCTCCAGCACGAAGCACCTCTTGGAAAGGCATACTCCGTACGGAGTACACAGCAACACGTGACTCGACTCCAGTCAAGCTTTGACCACCCGAATTAGGCTAGTGGCGCGGAAGCTGCCGGTTAGTGTCGGATTGGGACGGCGCGGGTTGAGTTTTGTCAGGCAAAAGTACATTTATGATTCGGATGACAGCAACAGAGTTCTTTTGAGAACTATTTGACAATCTATGTCCAGGATTCAGCTGGTTCTTATGTCCCACGCTAATATATAGTATGAGTCATGGTCTCAAGGCGTTTCAAACTGAAGCAGGTACTAAGAAGCGACTCTTCTATTTGGAAGAATTACGACTTGTGCATGGATATAAAATTGCGGTATTGTTGATATAGATGTACTTCAGAGCCACCGAAAAAAGATTCTTCGATGTTGCAGTAGGAGGAACAGGACTTCTCACCGATTAAAAGAAACGATGATCCTGAGAAGTTCTTTAGGGATTGTACAAGCTTGGCCAAGTAAATGTGGATCATGCTTTGTCCCTGTACCCTTGTGGTTCAACGGCTCCGTGGCAGAGATTATACGGTCCATTGCGGGATGAACATATCATCCGCCTCTTGCTCGACCAACTTCTTCCCGTATACTTTCTTCAACTGCTTGAAAAGGTCCTTGTTTATCGTGCCCACGTGGGGAATGTACTGAAAATCGAGCTGAACCTTCCGCACTTGGCTCTGGCTTTTCCCGTTCTTCACAACTTCCGTCCAAGTTTTTCCATGGGACGTGATATAGAATAGTCTAAGAGTCGGCACCACAATTTTCTCGGTCATTCCCGGTACACTTTGAATATGAGGTTGCTTGACTAAAAGGGTAAAGTTAACAGAATCATTGATGTCGATATTCCCATCCAGGATCTGGCGCACTTGCTCCGTGAGGATCTTGTCCAGCTTAGCGTATTCCGCCTGGTCAAACTGCTGAATGTCCTGCGCGAATTGCTTGATAAATTCAGGATGGACAGCGGCTCGGTCGCAAGTTTGGCTAAATTTGGCTGAGGCCATGGACTTCTTGTTGATGACAGCAGCCAATTGCTTGTGATTGATCGCATCAAAGTACGCGTCGGCAGTCACTTTCATGTGCAGGGAGGTTTCGTCAATGGCACTGATCGGCTTACCTCGCCTGTCGCCTTCTTGTTTTAGTCTATTGGCGGTATAGACACCAATCATCGAGTCGACAAAGTCGAGCATTTTGAGGGCTTTCTTGACCTCGTGCTCTAAATCACCGCTGAGTCCCTTGGGATCCAGTTTGATGGCAGCTGCGCCCTTGGCTTTGGACGGTTTGTCACCTTTCGCGAACATCGTCGTCGCAAAGTGATTGGAAACATTGTTTTCCGGTTCCTCCAGCATACGGTCAAGGATTGTATCGTCTCCCAAGACCTCAGATGTGACATCTCGGTGCAGCTTGTGGCCTCCGGAGGTTCTCAGCAGTGGGAGCATATATCGGCTCTGGTCATCCCCCACGCAGTATTGAAGGAAGATCTGTTCCCCACTGCCAACCACGCCCGCAATGCTGCCAGGCCCCAGTGAGAGAGACCCACCGAAGGTGTAGCAAATCTCAGAGTCGGTATCCGGGTCGTATATGTAAATATGCTCAAGCTTTGCCGTATAATTCAGCAAATCCTTGCCAGGAGGGATTGCTAATGCTGGCGCCGGGTCCCTACAGAGGTAGACATATTGAGTCGTCTGATTCGCCAATGTGCTTTCTTCAATCTCAATGGAAGCCATGGCGGAAGAAGTCAGGTGTGAACCAAGTTTTGAACAAATTCGTCGTTCTTGGAAACTGTTTGGGCTGTCCTGAGCAAACCATCAATGTGTTGGGGCTGACTCCTAGTCGCTGGATGACTTTATATACCTTTTCACACAGCAATGCTTATCCTGACTACATGACGGATTCGTGTTGCACACAGTTACTAAGTAGTACACATGCGTCCTCGTCATCCATTTGGATTGAGTCAATTATATCATAGCCAGTGCAAGGCTTGCCGGTTGCGGTGTCTTGCCATTGATCCTCTAAGATATGAAGTTCCACCTGGCCAAAGTCTATGATGCGCATGATGGGACACGGTGATGTCAAATGCAAACTGAAGCAATGTTCTGCTCAGTGGAGTTGACGCATTCATCAACTGACATAGTACTTATTGCTTTTGGTAACAGACCATCGGCCGGATGCATCAATGATGTAGTCTAGGACCTGTTCGCACGAAATGATTCGATGAGGCGTATGGCTGATCTCGTATACCAGCTTCTTAAGTTGCCTCTAGCTCGTTCTATCTCTATTAGGCTTCCATTTCTCTACCCCCCTCATGCCCTTCCAGGGACTCTTATGTTCTATTACTCCCGCCTCAAGTATTACTACGGTGTCACTTCGTTCTACAGTGGTTTAAAGACTTTGCATCATAATGTCGACGGATAACCTGCAGGCATTCCTAGAGATTGCCTCGAAAGAGCCCAAGGAACAGGTGGCAGCAGGCCAGGTTCCCATGCCCCCCGTGCTTCTGTTTGCCCCGCGGAATCACGCTGGGAATAGATTGCACACAGAGCTGCTCGAAATGACAGGCAAGATCTTTCTCGAGCTTGGGGAGAGCTTGATCAAGAAGCGGACGTACAATCGGATTGAAACTGCCGACGAGGTTCTTCAAGCAATGGTTGACGTGGCAAATGCAACCCAAACAAGCATTATCGGTGGAGGCAGCGTTTCAAAACTAGTGGACGTACGGCCCCCTGCGAATATTTCAATCAATCGAGATATACCGAGAGAAGATGTGCACCGGGAACTCCTGAACGTGTTGTTTTCACATCTGGCCCCCGACAAACAGACATTACGCGAGTTAGACCACCAGCTTCAGCAATTCGTGAAGGCCTTCTCCGAACTCCCAACTCAGGCAGATGGAAAAAATATCCTCTTCACTTTCCTTGCCAACCAAGTGCACCGCGACAACATTGGCACTGAGAAATCCCCAATCTATGAGGACGTCCAATCCATCGTATTGAATACCATCCGCATGCCTACGGAGGTGTACCGTGAGCTTGTCGCGAAAAATGAGAAGCCCGTCACGAGCTCGGCGGTAACCGCCACTTCCTCGACGAACAGGCCTGAGAGGCATGCGTCCACAAGGGAGCAGGAGCCGGCCAGGCAGTCCACCGAGCAGCGGACATCGTTCCTGGATATGCTTCGAAATGCCTTAGGGGTTGCCAACGACTCAGAGTCGGACTCTGAGCCTGATCCACCTGAAGATAACGTAACACTAAAAATGGACTATCGCATCATCACGGTGAAGCTGAAGCCAAAGAAATTTAAAAAGGCGCAGGAAGACATCGACGAGAGCATGAGAAGAGTAGTGAAAATGGGGGCGAAGGAATATGGAGAATCGATCACCAAAGTGTTGTATGTACCTAAATAAGCATATGGTCGGGGGGCAATGAGAACGATTCTAGTCAGAAAGTTGTAATTGTCTTGGCTGAACATGGTGTAGCAGCAATTCCAAAGTGATAGCAGCTCGGTAATATCATGAATAAATATCTTATGAGCATTGTTTGTTTGCAGTTGTTGACACCCATGAAAGGGGCTCTATGGCACATTGTTTTGCGATCTGCGATGATGGGACGGAATGAAGTATGTGCAAAACTGACTGTAGGGAAAAGAACACACAATTTATGCCTCTTCGACGTCTCCAATGATATATCGAGTACTATCCTATAGCAACATGCATACACTGAGCGGTACCGAAGGATGTAGCCAGACCTTATTGATATTATGTGCGAACGGAATCTGCACCTTGTACCTCACGTCAGACGCAAGACCGTGTGGTAATAGTTACTATACCGCATATCCCCAGTCTTGAATTTATGGGCTTTATAGCATTCGCCCTTATTGTCATCGTAAGTGATGGCCCTGCATTTGTCGTCGGTGGAGCAGGACTCCACACATTCCTTCAACGTCAACCCACGGACTCCCCCTTTCACATCATTGATAACTATTTCACTGTCAGCAGCTGGTCTCATACAACACCCGAGGGTTTTACATACTAAAGCCACACAAGGTCAACCATTTATTGCCGTTGAGAGTAGCGGTGGTCAAGGAACCCGAGTTGCCTGATTGCTTGTTAGCATCGCATTCATCTTGGCTGTAGTTCGGTTGGGCCTTACACTTGATCTTTCCCTCTGTTCCTCCCCAGCCAGAGCCTGATTTTTTGCATTCCTCTAGGTCATCCGTACATTGATCAGCCGCCTTCTGAAGGTCATCGACTTTCTTCTGGGATTCCCGTAGGTCGGCTTGGCACTGGCGCTTCTCCTTTTCCAAAGCATTCTTTTCGTCCTCACAGGTAATCAGGTCCTGTTGGCATTTGCGCTCTTTCTTCTCTGCCTTGGCCTTTTCATCCTCACAAGTGGTAAGATCTTCTTTGCACTTGCGTGCCTTCTTCTCGCACTCGTCGTCACCAGGCTTGCAGCGTGCAAGGTCATCTTCGCACTTGCGCTTCTGCTTCTCGCATTCCTCTTTATCATTTAGGCATGTACCGCAGTCATCTCCACTGTCGAAGCATGTCTGGGCGGTCATCCAGATGCAGCCTGGGGAACTTCCTGGGGATGGACCAATATATGTCAGCTTGCTAGTAAAGCATAGTCCTTTGTCCCAAATCGTGGCCTTGCAATCTTCTTTACTGCAAAGATCGGCACATTCTTCGATTGTTTTTACGGATCGATGTTCCGCGACCGGGTCAATTAAGCAGTCATCGCAAAGGTATCTAATCTTGTTTCCTGATGGCAGCGTCACCAGGTCATCACCTCTTGGGCAGATCCTGTTGTATTCCGGGTCACTTCTCTGGGAGAGCCCAGGGGCGATCAATGGCAGCAGTAGTACAAGAGGGGCGCCGAACATCTTGAAATGAAAGCCGAAGGGATCATTCAGTAAGCTATTAGAGAAGCTTTCAGAAGCATGGTGGTCAAGAGCTGGAGCTGAGCAAATGCATTCTGTTTTGACTATTTATATTTTTATCCCAAAGATAGATACTACGAGAGATCCAACGTGAAATCAACTGTATGTGGCAAAGAGTGGGATAGCCAGGCGTGAAAGAAGGCATACTTCAACCAATTGCAATATGTCCTCTGTCTCTTACATCACGACCAAGTCGAGGCCAGCCAAGTAGCTGTTTTCATCAACAGCTGTTCTCATATCCCTCCCAGTGTCCATCAGTACCCCCCCACTATGATGTAGTACTCAGACAGCCTTCCTGTCAAAAAAGGAAGTGCAACTTTTCTCAAGGCTGCAACCGTCGTGCCGAGTCGAGAGCTAACCGTTGAGTGAGCCGAGAGGTATAGACCCACAAATATTCTGGCCATGTACATCACAATACAAGGCAGTCTGTATAATTGCCTCTCCACCTTTGTAAACCCCAAGGCCGACTTGGCCTGATGTCACAAGCGGCGGATAGACATGTCTACCATTTGTTTGCGTTGCCGCGCGTGCCCCGTGGGGTTTGGATTGATGGAACAAGATGATAATACGTTATAAATCATCTCACTTTACTTTTACCTCTTTCTTCTTTTACGCGCTTTAGTCTAAGTATCCGTTATCATCTAGAACAAATGAAAGTCATCTTCAACAATCTTCAGCTTCACGAGCAATATACTGCTACATTATCCGATGTCTATGACGCATGTCCTGCTCGCAGCGTCTTTGCTGCTAAGCTATACCGCAGCTGAAATTCACCGACTGCCACTGGAAAAACAATTCCTCGTGAGCTGTCCCCAAATGCAGTGCTGGAAGCCAGTGACTCAATGTAAAAGCTAACGCAGATGCAGGACTTGAACAATGGTGACGATAATATTCGAATATCCCCACAGAGCCAGATGGAAGTCAACAGTCCGCAGATAGCCTTGCAGGATCCCGTACCGGATATTAAGGGTCATGACATACCTGTGAAGAATTACAGAAACACTCAATGTAAGGACCCTCGACCCATATTACATTGCTTTCAGCTAACTCGCAATACTTAGACTTTTCGACCATCAGGATCGGCACCCCTCCGCAGAAGTTCAAGGTGGTCCTGGATACTGCGAGCGCTAACTTGTGGGTTCCCTCATCCAAGTGCAAAACGTACTCCTGCAAGAAGCATAAGAAATACAAATCGGCCTTATCTCAGACGTATCACAAAAATGGGAGTGAGTTCGAGATATACTATGGCTCCGGGGGTATGACTGGCCACGTCTCTGAGGACATGTTCACCATTGGCAACCTTGAGGTCCACGAGCAGCTATTTGGAGAGGCAACTAAAGTGTCGGGCTTTTCGAATGTGAAGGCGGATGGCATTCTAGGCTTGGGGTTTGCTTCAATCTCAGTGAATAGCATTGCCCCGCCTTTTTATAACATGCTTGACCAGAATCTTTTCGATGAGCCGGTCTTTGCCTTTTACCTGAGTGACACATACAAGGGGCGTACTTCCGAGGTGACCTTTGGCGGCGTTGACGACCAGCACTATAGTGGGGATATAGTCAAGATTCCTCTGCGTCGCAAGGCCTATTGGGAGGTTGACTTTCGGGGACTTTTCTTCGGGGACAAATTTGTCGATCTGGAAGACACCGGTGCTATTCTGGATACTGGCTCCTCGTTGATCGGTCTACCATCTGGTCTCTTTGAACAGGTGTAAGTTGTTCCTTTCATTCCGATAGACGATGCTACATGAACTGACGGTTCCGTTCTAGGAACAAGGCAATCGGCGCGACGCCGGATTACCAGGGTAGGTACATCCTCGAATGCGATAAGCGGAGATTCATGCCTTCCCTCACCTTTGTCCTGGGGGAGCATAACTTCACTATTGGGCCCAATGACTACTCTCTCCAGGAAAAGGACTTTTGCATGAGCGCCCTGGTCCCCATGGATTTCCCCGGCCCCACCGGCCCCTTGGTTGTACTTGGAGACGCATTCCTCAGAAGGTGGTACAGTGTATATGACTTTGGTAACGGTGCCATCGGGCTAGCTGAGGCAAAACGCAAAGAATAATGGAAGAATAATGTTCTAGTACTCTGTGTCAACCTTCAAAACAAGAATTACATGTCTTGTACCGGAAAAATAATCCATTGGGTCTTCATCGGCATTCTATATCCCTTGCCACGAATTGCCTCGACAAAGACGTGAGGGAAAATCCAGTTCAGGAATTTTGAATTCCGTGGCCGGTTACTCCATTCTCAGCCTCTCTCCTCTGGTATGCTTTTAGTATGTGGACCGGGCCGGTTTGAAACTTTCTCCTGCCACATTGGCACATTGAATGCCCTTGCCTTCGGTCTCCTGTCTGTTGCGGAATGTGGGGATATAGGTTCCGCCCCCGCCGTTCGGGAGTTCCGTGGATAGCGTCAACCTAGACGGGGAGTATGGCATGTCATATGGTGGCATGCAGCATACTGTTTGGGAGTGGGATTACTGGAGAGACGTTCCGTTTGTCGTCCGTAAGACGCCACTTTTGATAGGTTAACCCATGCGAACGGCGAGAATCGGCCTAAGTGTGGTTCGATTGACATCCAAGGGTTGTCGAGGAGTAGCTAATGCTAAACCTTTGCAAATGTCCTCTTCACTTGATGAAGGACATGGATAATACGCCCGTTCTTTTCATGGTAGCCGCAGGCTGGTCATACCTGCTATTCTCCTAGAGCCTCATCTATTCGACATTCTCGATTTTCGCTTATGAGACTAATCATGTCTCATCGCAACCTTTTGAGGTGCTCAGATACATAGCACACAGCCCGCATTGGCAGTTTCAGCGGGCAGTCTGGTATCGGGAATGTGGGGCCATTCTACACTGTCACCCTGCCTTTCTATGGTTTCGATACCACTGTGGGTATTCCCGACTGGGGTTTTCCTCGGGTTCTGTAGCCTGTCCCATGCATGTATTCCGATGTCCTGGGTCCACAGGCGATGAAGCACAACGCCAGTTGCATGAAAGCGGAATTGATAACAACGAGCAGTTATTTTGCTTGCAACCACAGGTCATTGACGTAGTCGCGACGACACGAATCAAAATGAGCACGCCGAGAGCAGCAGTCATCGTCGTTTTGCTTTCGGGTTGACATTGGGCTGTCTGAGCTTCCGGTGAAAGCCCATCGTCTCTATGACTTCACTACACAACAGCTGGCAGGGCTTTAACATTGTGCTTTATTGATTGACGCAATCAGTGTAGTCATTGAACAGAAATGGTCTACTGGCACTTCGACACTGGTACCGGAAACGTATACTGCCAGTGCTGCGGTTGAAGTGGCCAAGCTACTCAGAGACGTATAAAGAAGCGGAAGAATGGCCCTGCTTGCTTCTACTATTCACCAACTCGTGACACTCATCGTTTCATAGCTTCACGTTATCCTTAACTACTGCCATGGATAAGGTGCTCTGTGCTCTCCTGCTTAGTGCAGGCATGTGGATTGGCCCTGTCGCAGCACAGCAGGCTGACCCTCAGCAAGTCCGATTGTCACCTCCTTCGGGATCAAGACTAGGGTCTGCGCCTCTGTCGCCACCCCGTTCCATCACATTGAAGGATTTGCGGGTGATGAAAGACCAGTACGGGAATGAGCAATGTTGCCCGCCTGGGACTATGCTGGTCGGAGGCCAGTGTATCTTGCCTCATAGCAGTGTCTGTCCTGAAGGGACTGTTCAGAAGGGAAATGTATGCGTGGGCCAGCCGATATGCCCTCCGAAGTTCCACTATGACGGCCAGAAATGCATCTCGAATCATCCCCCGCTTTGTCCAACCGGATCACGCTTCAATGGCAAGGACTGTATCTCGATCGACAACCCTGTGTGCCCAGACGGTTCCACTTTCGATGGACATAACTGTGTCAGCACAGCCCAACCTATATGTCCAAGTGGCGCCCACCTGAAGGACAATATGTGTGTTACCAAGCAATCCCCCAAGTGCCCGGAGGGAATGCAGTTTGATGGTGAACAAGGATGCGTCAGCACAGAACCGCCTAGCTGTCCAGATGGCGCCCAATTCTCAGGCGGCCTTTGTATCTCCATCGTGTCTCCCTCATGTGAGCAGCCGTTCATCTTGCAAGGCAATACTTGCGTTCATTCCTCCAGGCCCAGATGCCCCACAGGTGCCAAGTTCGATGGCACCGTGTGTATTTCAGAGAGGCCCCCGAGCTGTAGGGTCGGTGTCTTTGATGGAGGAGTGTGCAAGGACAACCAGCCCCCGATTTGTCCGCCGCGTACCATCCTCAAAGGGTCTCGCTGTACTGTGGAAACCGGTGCATCCTGTCCTTCGGGGCATTCTCTGTCCGTATTCCAAGATCAAGTCCGCTGTTGTCCGGACGGATTTAGCTGGGATGGGTCATTCTGTGTCCTGAAATACGGTGGCGATAAGTGCCCTCCAGGAAGCCATTTCGATGGCGAAAAATGTCTTTTCACGCCAATCGTCCAGCCCATCTGCCCCCCGAGGACTACCTGGAATGGCAAGGACTGTATCCTTTCAGTGCCACCGCGATGCTCGTCTGGCTTCTCGTTCGTCAGCGGGAACTGTGTCAGCAAGGATCCACCTGAATGTCCGGATGGGACGACCTTTGATGGTCAAAGATGTGTCTCGCCAACTCCACCTTACTGTCCCGATGGAACCAACTTGAAAGGCCGGGACTGCATGTCGTCCGACCCGCCTCTTTGTCCACCACGCACGACGTTCAATGGCCACTCATGTGTGCTCAACGTACCCCCCACATGCCCCCCTGGTTCCACTCTCACTGGCGATAGCTGTCGATTCCCTGATATTCCTGACTGTTCTGGTGGCTCCTTTACTGGAGGGCATTGCGTTGTTCCAGTCCCCCCCAAGTGCCCACCATCCTTCATTTTCAACGGAAAAGAGTGCGTGCACCAGGACCGTCCTCGCTGCCCACCCAACTACGTTTTCGATGGAACGAACTGCGTTGCGTCCGACCCACCGCAGTGTGGGCCAGATGCTATCTTTGACGGCACCAACTGCGTCGATATCAAGCCTCCGATCTGTCCTGACGGCACTGCTTATGATGGCCATGGCTGTTCTGGTGGCAAGCCCCCGAAATGCCCAGAGGGAATGACCTTTAACGGACGCGATTGCATTGATGGAAAGCCACCCAAGTGTCCTGAGGATACCACATTTAACGGTGAAAAGTGTGTTTCCAATGTGAAGCCTGATTGCCCCCCGGGCACAACATTTGACGGTTTCAAGTGTGTGAACGAATCACCCCCAGTATGTCCGGAGGGTACAAGTTTCAACGGCCACGCCTGTGTCTCTATCAAGCCTCCCGTCTGTTCTGATGGCACTGTTTTCGATGGGTCGAAGTGTGTCGCGTCCAAGCCGCCAGTCTGCCCCCCAGGAACCAGGCTCGAGGACGGCATGTGCGTGGTCACCACCGACCCCATCTGTGCCGAGGGAACGACCTTCAACGGGAAGACATGCACCACTGCCACTCAAGCGGAATGTTACCAGATGTTTGTCTGCCCGCCATTCCGTCCCGCACAGCCACTCGCTGGCTAAAGGTGATCTGCCCTTCAATACTTTGGATGCAAGCCTACTCAGTTCTGAACTTTGAATGCCTGGGTGATCGTTCGATCCTGATAGCCCTAAATTCTATTGTAATTTGCACTGAAGTCTCATATGCTCTTGGAACTAGTCTCAAAAGTTTACGAAATCCTTTGCAAGCACGAAAATTGGATGCTGCAGCGGGTTGGCCCAGTGCCCACGCCCTCCGTTGTGATATAGTTGCCTAGGCAGAATCAGATAGGGTCTTCTTGTTTACTAATTATAGTTTATATCCATTAAGAACCATAAACTACACTGTAAACTATGGCGTCACAAGGGGGCCAAAAAGGAGAATGAGGAAAACAAGCAGTATCATTCAACAGAATACAAGCTAAATGGAAAGTGGTGACCTGAAAGCATCCCATCCTGTTATTTGGTCAGATCATTATATTAGTCCTAGATAGCAAGGGGTTTCTTTCGCCCTGTGCTTGTTATGAAATGCTTTAGACCTGGTATCACTGTCCTCGACAACAATTTCAGTCCAACAAATCTTCACTCTGTTCTTAGACCTTTGTCCTAATGGGGACGCAGCAGTTTTGGCGCTGTATGAAAGCAGAGTGAGGCGTTTTCTCGTCTTTGCGTAGTGATCCTAGTTAATGTATAATGCGGTCCTTCTACGTGACTCGGGGTCCTATATAGAGCTTGATAGCCGCCCCTACCAATTTATAGATAGGAGTGACTGCGACTCTATATAGATATTTATGTTGTAGTTGTATATTTTAGAAATGCAGGCACTATATATAGATATTCAACAAATGCAAAATGCGGTGGATTGGGTCTGGAAGATGCATATGGGCGTATGCGCTAGCAGTTCGAGATATACATAATGGCCAATGATTCTAAGAATGGATTCTTTCTTTGAGAAAATGTACAAATTTTATACATCCTATATTCCGCTCGTTGTAAGGCACGTATACACTGACACGGGGTAGTAATTTCGCCCATCGCGTGGGCCTAGGATAATCCGGTGGAACGAGGATAATAGAACCATGTGCCAGATGCTCGGGGTCCTAGAGCTTATCATTACCAAGTACCCGGGCCAACTCTATCTGAAGCCTAGACCAGAGACCCGCCCTTTTAAGCTACTGTTGCGCGGGAGAGTTTTGATTGTACGTTATTTTAACAACCAGCTGCACAACTCATCCCCTTATATCCCTTCCCGGCCAACTTTTACCCATGAACTCGACCACCGACCCTAGCATAAACGCTGGTACATGGACCTCTGATCATGGTAGACATAATAAAAGACTTCTATACAATCCTCTCAAACTAGAAA